TCTAAGCCTTCAGGATAACTGGTACACAATTCATACTTCTGGGTGTGTTTAAGTGGATGCTTTATAACTTACTTAAGCCTTGAAGAGCTTATCAATTTCTCTTTCCCCCCAAAATATTAGATTATTGTTTGACATGCTGAACTGTTGAGAAATTCTTTCATAGCAGTAGTTATTTTATTTATTTTTATTTTTTTATCCTCACCCGAGGACATTTTTTCATTTTTTGTTCAGATAGGGTGGGGGGGGGGGGGAGAGAGAGAGAGAAACATCGACGTGAAAGAGACACATCAAGTGGCTGCCACCCGCATGACCCACCCAGGGCTGGGGGCAAACTGCAACCGAGGTACGTGCCCTTAGTGGGAACCGAACCTGGGTCTCTCTGGACCGCAGGCTGACGCTCTAACCGCTGAGCCAAACTGGCCAGGGCAGCAGTAGTTAAAAAAATATATATCTTGGGTAAAAAAAGATATCTTGGGTATAGATGGAGGTGTAGAGGATGAGTTTTCTAAGCAAGTAACAATTGCACTTTCTTGGCATACTGGAACAAATAGAATTTCAGGTTCAGGGGAAATGCTTTAGAGGTGGTATTTGGTGAAAATCTGAGTCTGAACTTGTGAATGTGAGTAATTATGGAGTTCTCTGTTGGAAATCTGATTTACGTCACTATTTGACAATTGCATATTATTTACTTCTTGTTTTGTGGTTTTATAATTTGTGTATTCAGTGAGAGGAGAAGTGGTAAAGCCCAGTTGGACCTCAGGGCTGGAAATGGGAGTTATACTTGAAGTCCTACGATGAAATCTTTGTGTGGTCAGATTGTTTGTAAACCTTGATACTTACATGTTATGTAGGTGCTTGTACTTTTTTTAAGAGAGAGAAACAGATGTGAGAAACATCCATTGGCTGCCTCCTGCACATCCCCCACCAGGGATTGAACCTGCCACCTAGGCAAGTGCCCTGACCAGGGATTGAACCAGGACCTCTCAGTTCATGGGCTGCTCAATCCACTGAGCCACACCAGATAGGGCAATGCCTGCTCTTCATTTTTTTTTTCTCTTTTTCACTGGCCTTTTGAAAATTATTCTAGGATGTTTTTTTTTCCCCTTTGTCTTACCCCCAAAAAAATATTTTTTAAGTTATTATGAACTGTTTAAATTTTGTTTATTTATTTTTTAAACTCATCTTTATTGTTGAATGTATTGCAGATGTTCCTTCTTTTTTCCCCCATTACTCCCTCCCCCCAATCCTGCCCCCCCTCCCCCGCCTTCCCCACACTATTGTCGGTGCCCATTGGTTATGCATATATGCATAGAAGTTCTTTGGTTTATCTCTTCCCACCTTCCCTCCCCCCTTTCCTTTGAGGTTCATCAGTCTAACCACCAATTTGTACTTCTTAATTGCTTCATCTTTTTCACCCATCCCACCAGCCCCCACTCATCTGGCAAGCAACAAAAGGTTCTCTGTATCTATGAGTCTGTTTCGGTTCTGCTTGCTCATTTTGTTTGTAGATTCAGTTGTTGATATGTATTAATTGCCATTCTATTCATATATTATTCAAGAAGACTCAACATTTCATGTAATACTGGTTTGGTGGTGATGAACTCCTTTAGCTTTTTCTTGTCTTGGAAACTCTTGATATGTCCATTGATTCTAAATGATAGCTTTGCAGGATAGAGTAATCTTGGTTGTAGGTTATTGCTTTTCATCACCTTGAATATCTCTTGCCACTCCTTTCTGGCCAGCAAAGTTTCTTTTGAGAAATCACCTGACAGTCTTATGGTAACTAAGTAAGTAACTAACTGCTTTTCTCTTGCTGCATTTATTATTTATTTATTTATTTATTTATTTATTTATTTATTAATTATCTTCACCCGAGGACATTCTTCCATTTTTTGTTTAGATAGAGTGGGAGGGAGAGAGAGGAAGAGAGAGAGAAGAGAAACATCGATGTAAAAGGGACACATTGAGTGGCTGCCACCCACACGACCAACTAGGGCTGGAGACAAACTGCAACCGAGGTTCATGCCCCTAGCGGGAACCGAACCCGGGTCTCTCCAGACCACAGGCTCTAACCACTGAGAAAACTGGCCAGGGCTTCAAATAGGTTTTCAATTTCTTGCTGTCTCCCTTCTTCTTCTGGCACCCCTATGATGCGAATGTTGGCACACTTGAAGTTATCCCAGAGGCTCCTTACATTATCTTTATTTTGGGGGATTCTTTTTTTTTTTTCTGTTCTGATTGGGTGTTTTTTGCTTCTTTATATTCCAAATTGATGGTTTGCTTTTTGGCTTTACCTACTCTACTATTGATTCCCTATAAATTATTCTTTTTTTTTTTTATTCTCACCCAAGGACATTTCTCCATTTTTTGTTCAGGTAGAGTAGGAGGAAGAGAGAGAGAGAGAAACATAAACATGAAAGGGACACATTGAGTGGCCGCCACCCACACAACCCAACCAGGGCTATGGACAAACGTGCCTTAGTGGGAACTGAAACCCGGTCTCTCTGGGCCGCAGGCCGATGCTCTAACTGCTGAGCCAAACCAACCAGGGCTGTAAATTATTCTTTATTTCAGTTAGTGCATCCTTCGTTTCTGACTGGTCCTTTTTGATGTTGATATTCTCACTAAGTTCCCTGAATGTCTCACTAAGTTCCTTGAGCAACCTTATAATCAGTGTTTTGAACTCTGCATCTGATTGATTGCTTATCTCCATTTTGTTTAGTTCTTTTCCTGGAGTTTTGTTCTTTTCTTTGATTTGGGACATGTTTTTTTATCTCTTCGTTTTGGCTGATTCCCTGAGATTGTTTCTATGTATTAGGTAGAGTTGCTATGTCTCCTAGGCTTCCTAGGGTGGCCTATTGTTGTAGGTGCCCTGTAGGATCCAATGGCACAGCCTCCCTGACTACCCCAACTGGGCCCTCGAGGTACACTCCTAGTGTGGACTATACACCCGTCTGTTGTAATTGAGTCTTGATTGCTGTTGGCACGTCAATAGGAGGGATTTACTCAGGCTGATCAGCTGCAAGGACTGGCTGTGCCCACTGACCACTGGCCTCTGACTCCCTTGGAGGATCAGCTTTGTAGGGGCCCACCACATAGAGCAAGACTTACGTTATCAGGGCTCTGGTACCCATTGCGTCTGTCACTTGTGGAAGTGGTTGGGTAGTGGTGTTTTGATGTGGTCTGAAGTTTTCCACTGGGTGTGCTGGCTCTGGGGCAAGGTCAGCCACAGCCTGTGTTCTATCCAGGGCCACCCAGCATAAGTTACAAAGTGATCTGCTCATGGTTGCTTCTAGTGCCTGAGGCCACTTAACGAGAGGTATGGGGCTTGCTGAGACCAGATGCTGCTTGTTTGAGAGATTTTAGGAAACTGAAGCAGGATCCAAAATAAGCCAATTCTATGGTAAAGCCTTTGGAAACACTTTGGTGGGCCCGAAAGTTGGGTGGGGCAGGGCCTCAGGGAGTCACCAGGGTGGGGCAACAGTGTGAGTCAGGTTGCTGGAGTCCCAGATATGGTGCCCGTCTGCCATCCTGGGGAAGGGCTCACCGAAGAAACAAAGGCCAGCACCTCTGTCTGAGAGAAAGCTGCCTCTCCAGCCCTCGTCCTGAGGCTTAACAGCTCAGTTCTTCCCAGCTCAATTCTGGTACCTTTCAAGCTGCCTCCCTTCACAGCTTAGAGGGAGCAAGTCTGAGTAAGTCCTTGCACAGGCCCTTTAAGAGGAACTGCCTGGGGCTCCAGCAGCCTCAGCCTCCCTCAGCCTCAGTTCCCACTGGTTTTACAGCCAGAAGTGATGGGGACTTCTCTTCCTGGCACTGGAATGCTGAGCTGGGTGCCTGGTGTGGGACGGGGACCCCCAGCTCCTTAGGGGGGACCTTCACAGCTGAGGCACCCTCCTGATTTTTATCCTCCACAGGGGAGTGTGAGACCAGCCCATCTATGCCTCTGCCCCTCCTACCAGTCTTGATGTGGCTTCTTCTTTAATTTCATAGTTGTAGGACTTCCATTCAGTTCGACTTAAGGCAGTTCTGAATGATGGTGGTTCTGTAGTTTAGTTGTAATTTTGATGTGGTTGTGGGAGGAGGCAAGTACCTCATTTACCTACGCTGCCATCTTGACCGGACGTCTAAATTTTATTTAATAAATAGCCTTGCCCGTGTGGCTCAGTGGATTGAATGTCATCCCAAGGACTGAGGTCCCAGTTCAATTCCTGGTCAGGGCACATGCCCAGGTTGCAGACTTGATCCCCAATAGGGTGGTGCAGAAGGCAGCTTATCTATATACCTCTCTCAAATTGATGTTTCTCTCTCTCTCTAAAAAAATCAATAAAAAGGTTTAAAAAATAATAAACTTTATTAAATTAATAAATGACCAAAGTTGGCACCTAATGGATGCATGTTGGCCATAGCTATTCAAAGTTGGCAGAACTTGATAATGAGCAATAATTTGTGTTGGATTTTTTTTTTCACAATACTGTTTTCTAGCAGTTGAATCTGAGGTGTCCTATGGGACATGTGTGTCCCACTGACGGAGCCAGCTGTTGGGTGTTTTAACTAAGCAGTTTGCTCCTAGTTGGCTGCTCAAATCCCAGTGAGAAATACTAACTTCTCCCAGGATAATGCAGGAATAGAGCATGTAGGGTGAGGATTTTCGCAAGGCCTTTAGTGACCTGGTTTAAATTTGTTGAGTTTTTCTGCTTTGGCTTTTTCCTATAGGTGCCCAACTTCATCTACTTCAGATTTTCACAAATGACTCATCTTTCTGTCATATTTTCTTAGAGTACAATGACTCAAGACTCTTTGGGTCACTGCTGTGACGTTTCCCCTACCCACATGTATTGGGAGGAGAAAACAGTAATATTCAAATTCAAGCCTGTTTCCACCTCATGCTGATTGATTCCTGTGGTACATAGAAAACTTTGTTTCTTCCCCAAAATGGCATTTTAGTGATTCTTTGTTTCCTGTCATAGGAAGCTTATGACCGTCTTTTTTTTCCCCTTTGCAGAGGGAATCTGGAAAAGTTGTATGCAAGACATCATTTCTCAAAGAAAATATTGGATAGCAGAAGTTCTGGATAGCAGGTAAAATGTTTATTTTGTTTGTTTTTGCATTTATCTTCAGATAGAGTAGGAGGGAGAGGGAGGAAGAGAGAGAGAGAGAACCATCGATGTGAGAGAGACACATCAAGTGGCTGCCACCCATATGACCCCAACCAGGGCTGGGGACAGACTGCAACTGAGGTACATACCCCTAGCGGGAACCGAACCTGGGACTCTGGTCACCGGCTGACACCCTAACCGCTGAGCCAAACCAGCCAGGGCAAGTAAAATGTATTTAAACTTCTTTGATCATGCTGATCACCTATAATCTTCAGAATTAAACTGGGAGAGGGAAGAAGAGAAGGAGGAAAGCTAGGTGTACTTAGTGTAAGTTAGCATTAGGGATTTTATATGCATTGTCTTATTTAGATGGTTTTTACCAGGATTCTGGATATAGTTCTAAGAATCACAGAATAAAACTATCCTTCTCAAAATGCTGTTTTAAATGGATTTGCCTATTTATTGGTTTTAATGTCCTCACAATTCAATTTGCAGACAGTTTTTAACACTCACCACAAACGTAATACAGAAACAATACAGAATCCTAAAGTCTACTATGCTGTGCAGCCTAGTTAGGATGTGTATTCCTGTTTTTTTTTTTCCTTTTTGTATTGTTTTAGTTCTTGATCATTGCCAGTTATTTGCAGCCATACCATCTGTTTAACTTTTTTTTTTTGGTGGTACATGCCCCTAGCAGGAACCGAACCTAGCACTCTCTGGTCCACAGCTGATGCTCAACCGCTGAGCCAAACTGCCCAGGGCAGTTTAACTATTTTTAATACTTTTTCATTGGGTCTGAAATTTAATTTTCTCAATAAAGTACTTCTTCACAATGAAGTCTAGCTCAGCTGTCTCCATTATGTTCTCATTGGTAGTTGTGTTATGTCTGGGCCAAATAGCTTCTTATTTCTTATCTATATCCCACAAAGCCTTGTGAAATAATAGTATAGGTAAAGAATCAGTATACTATTTCTGAGAAATACACTTGAAATTATAGCTACAGTTTTATCTTTTAAACTAGGGAAGACATGAAAGCAAACCAGACTTTTTAGTTTGGTGGCACAAATAAGTGCTCATAGACTGAGGTGAATTGACCTCTCCGAGGGTAGTAGAGTGAGATGCTGTTTATTTTAACAATCATTCTAGTGTGAGCCTTGACGTTAGATTTCAGGTATGCAGAAAAATAGTTCCTAGAGATATCAATAAAAATTTAAATAGTTGAGATTTTAGTATTTTCTGGTTTTTCCTTTGGTATTTTTCTCAGGGCAAACCAGTTCCATCACCATGAGTTGGAGCTTCCTGACACGCCTACTAGAGGAGATCCACAACCATTCCACGTTTGTGGGGAAGATCTGGCTCACTGTCTTGATTGTCTTCCGGATTGTCCTTACAGCGGTGGGAGGAGAGTCTATCTATTACGACGAGCAAAGCAAATTTGTGTGCAACACAGAGCAGCCAGGCTGCGAGAATGTCTGCTATGATGCCTTTGCACCCCTCTCCCATGTGCGCTTCTGGGTGTTCCAGATCATCCTGGTGGCAACCCCCTCAGTGATGTACCTGGGCTATGCCATTCATAAGATTGCCAAAATGGAGCATGGTGAAGCAGACAAGAAGGCAGCTCGGAGCAAACCCTATGCGATGCGTTGGAAACAGCACCGGGCTCTGGAAGAAACAGAAGAGGACCATGAAGAGGATCCCATGATGTATCCAGAAGTGGAATTAGAAAGTGAAAAAGAAAATAAAGAGCAAAACCAACCTAAACCCAAGCATGATGGCCGGCAGCGGATTCGGGAGGATGGTCTCATGAAGATCTATGTGCTGCAGTTGCTGGCAAGAACTGTATTTGAGGTGGGTTTTCTGATAGGACAGTATTTTCTGTATGGCTTCCAAGTCCACCCATCTTATGTGTGCAGTAGAATTCCTTGCCCTCATAAGATAGACTGCTTTATTTCTAGACCCACTGAAAAGACCATCTTCCTTCTGATAATGTATGGTGTTACAGGCCTTTGCCTATTGCTTAACGTTTGGGAGATGCTTCATTTAGGGTTTGGGACAATTCGAGACTCACTGAACAGTAAAAAGAGAGAACTGGAAGATCCGGGTGTTTATAATTATCCTTTCACTTGGAATACACCATCTGCTCCCCCTGGCTATAACATTGCCGTCAAACCAGATCAAATCCAGTACACCGAACTGTCCAATGCTAAGATTGCCTACAAGCAAAACAAGGCCAACATTGCCCAGGAACAACAGTATGGCAGCCATGAGGAGCATCTCCCAGCTGACTTGGAGACTCTGCAGCGGGAGATCAGAATGGCTCAGGAACGCTTGGATTTAGCAATTCAGGCCTACAATCACCAAAACAACCCCCATGTTCCCCGGGAAAAAAAAGCCAAAGTGGGGTCTAAAGCTGGTTCCAACAAAAGCAGTGCGAGTAGCAAATCAGGGAATGGGAAGACCTCCGTCTGGATTTAATCTTGGCTGGGTTTAAAGCTTGTGCTTTTCATAGTTTATGGTAAGCAACGACTCACTGAATAATGACTTCCATTGAGTAAACATTTGGCTCTGGTTATCTTCAGGGATGCTGTTGGCTTGTGATCCAAGCTCAGGGGACTCTGAAGGCGGGGCTGGGACAGAGGAAAAAGAAGGGAAACATAGTGTTCCTGGGTTCATGTTCCAGCAATAATACAGTTGTAGAACTTTACATTTGTGTCTTCCAGATCTGGAAAAGAACAGATATATTTAAATCATTCTTGTTGAACAATTTTTGTATGTATGGTATTATGGTACTTTTTTTTTTAAGTAGGAGAACTTTTTTTGTACTTGTATATTGAACCACTGTAGTTATACTTTTATATTAAAGGGGAAAAAATTCTAAGGTAATGCTTATTAGGCTAGTGTTATTACTTTGTTCAGCAAATTCTACCCTGGGTTTAAAGTTTTAATAGATGCTACACCTAATAAAAGTGCCTCTCGTTGCAGGAATGATTTCAAATATATAAGGAGGAGGAGGACTCGGTTTTCAGTCTTAGAAAGAAAGTCCACAGTAGAATGAGGTTGAGATCTTCTCTTCTTTGAGAAATCTTTGAATCTCATTCATATGCCCCAAGTTGTGTCTAGTCCTTGAAAACCTATTTGTATTTTCAAAGGAGATAAATGAGTCACTGCAGAATTCCTTTAAATATCAAGCATTGCCAGTACAGGCTTTGATGGTGTATCTATAATTTAAGTTCTTTCAAAAGGCTGATACTCCCCAGTTCTGTAGCAGTGTGGAGACTTTGTTAGAGTTGTCATTGAGATTCCTCTCCCACAAAGCAAAGCTGTGCCTGGAAAATGAGGCCGAATAGGATGTTTAATTGTGGACCTGTTTGATTTGCCTTAAATCTCTATCCAGAAACCTGCCTCTCTCTACTTTCTAAAGAAACCAGTGATGGATTTTTTTTTAATATGTTAACATTAGAAATACAAAATTTTCCTTTAATCTAAGAATACTCAAAGCAACTTGTGCTGCATATGGCGGAAAGCCTAAATCCAGATTCCTTATTTTTTATACTTTACTGTGGAACTTTTATAATTTGCATACTTCTGCAAATAGGGTTTTGCCTGGAGGACTAGTCAGACCAGGGGTTTTATCTGTAAATAGACCTAAAGAGAATTTCAGTATTTATTCCCTACAAATATATTAGTAGGCATATCTGTTTGTCAATGACGAACATTAATGTCCACATAACACTTATACTTTGCAATATTTTATTGCCATTTCCAACCTTGTATTATGTTGGAGAGCTCTGCTTTCCCATCATGTTCACATTGTTTGTCTTATAGTTTATGAGCTTCTGAGTAAAGCTTAGTAAAGATTTAAAGAAAGGGACTTTTGCTTCACCAGGAAGTATTTCATTTTGGGTATCTCACTCTTTTCTAACAGGAAGCTACCATAAGCCACCTCTGACTTTGGAATTCCAAAAGCATTACTTTGTTTATGTCTTTATTTTAAAATGAGAATCCTAGAACAGCACCTTTGTGGTGTTCTTTTTCTTTGTTGTCCTCCATTGCATTTCTCTCACTCCTACCCCCAAACAAAAGAAACTCAATAGAAAATTTAAGTTTATTGTCTAGCCATGCATTTACCTTTATTTTGCTTTTTTTTTTTTAATCTATAATTTTTGACCTAGAGAATTTCTTCAGGACCTCTAAACATCTTAAGCAAAAAGTAAGTTCAGGTGAGACTGAAGGGGAGATTTCAGAAAATTATACATGTGTATATCCTGGATAATTAATAGACATACACAGTTTCCTTCAAACCAGATGTTTAAGAAGGAAATTAAAATAATCTAAGAAAACAGGCAAGATTTTAAATACCTAAGCCTAGCTAAGATAAAGAACTACCAATTAATTCTTATGTCATTAGAGCTTCGAGCAAATTTCTTGATTAAAGGACAGAAAATATACATGCACTCACATCCGTCTCCTCAGAGCCTGAAGAACAGCATGGTTTTGCCAACAGAAAGGTTGGGGATTTGAGAGTGATGGAGAGGGAAGGGGTCAGGCATAAATGCCAGGCAGACATTTGGCGCTAGAAGCGTCCACTCAGTTTCTACAAATGATGCCCTGATGTTTCATCTTGGCTTGTTCTGATGAGTATGTTACCTTTTGTGTCTGGATAATTCTTCACCTTTTTTTTTTACCCCCGCCTCCCCAGTTCTTCACCTTCTTAAAGTATGTAGAAAGATAGTCTAAGTTACTTCTCATGTGCACACATGTTTAAAAATCTATTTTTATTTTCTCACTAAAGTTTTAATTATGACATGGGTTTCTCAACTCTCACTGCTTTCTTAGTATATGTCTTTCAACCTTTGAACATAAGAGTTTGCCAAAGCCGTTTTTCCCTAATGACATCTGTGAACCTACATTAAGAAAATGGTCCTGTTAGTGTCTAGGTTAACCCATCGGTTGGGTCTCCATTGAATCTATAAAAATATCGTTCTGGCTATTGTTCTGGAATTTGTAGGTATTTGTATAAAAAGCCTGTCAGCATTTTTTTTTCTTGTCAAAATCCTATTCCTTTGAATTGCCATATAAAACATGCTCTGTCATAAGATATTTGCTTCTCTAGATAGAAGTAGACTGTTTAGTTCTTCACATATGAGAATCAGGATACAATCATGTTTATATACCTTAGTATATTGTTGGATTTATTTAGATGTGGTATATCCTTTGCTCTTTTGCTCATCTTCCTTAAAAATCTGTTATTCAAAGAGATTTGTAAAAAGGACAGACTTCTTAGCTCAAATTTGAGGGGAGAATTAGATAACATTTTCCCCTAAAGATATATTAATGTTCATTTTGTGGCTTCGAGTTTGCTTGATGACTTTTTCCTGTTTCGATATTTTATTTAAAACCACAAGTATGTTATTTCATTTGAAGTCAGTTTTTCTGGGGATTTTCCTTGACTAATGTCTATAGAATTACTTTGATAAAGATGAACTTTGTCATCTAAAATGTTTCTGAAGGTTAGGACTCCTACGTGTCTTTTAGAAGGACACCTGTATCTTTAAAGAGAGAAAAAAATCATTAGGTACTTTAATTCTGTCATTTCTTCTTTGTATGAAATTAGGCAGTTCACAGTACTTTTCTAAGTTTCAGGAGCCGCTTACCTCTCAGAAGTGATATGAAGTATTTAGATCAAGCCTATGGTAAAAGGTATTAAAAGATCAACTGTTATTATTGGTCATTTGTCTGAGTTTGGAGCTTCAAAAAAAATAGTTGTAAGAACTGTGATGGTAGTAAGTTGTGCTTCAGTGCTGTTTATCACAGGAATCAATGATGGCTTAAAATACTTGCTCTAAGCAATTTATAAAGTAAATATTATTTCCATTAGTTATATCTATGCTTTACCCTTAAGCATATGAATGTCTGTCTTTATGCTTTCTGTCTCATTTAAGAGATAGTATACTTCTAAAAATAACATATATAGTTGATGATAAAATTTTGGCCAGCCAGCTTTTGGTAAAAAGCAAATACATTATACTTGAACCTACTTCAAGAAATGCCTTTCTGTAAAGGAAAGACCTTTCCTAACTGAATAAAAGTACCTGAAATCAAAGACACACAGTTGCTTGTCATTCTAATAGGAAAGTTCCAGGTATTAGATTAATTTTATCTTTATAAAATCATGTAATCTCATGAAGAATCTTATCACCTAAAAATAATAAAGCCCCTGCACCTATACAGTATAGAATTTGGAAACAAAATTGCAACTCACCAAATATCATAAATTTGTAATAATTCACAGTCACCATCGAGTATTAGAGTCATTAGGTTGAATTGCATACTTGTCACTCACTCTGGCCACATATCATGGAGAGTTTAAAAGATTTTATATGTTGCCATTAATGCAGTTGTATCTTTGAATCATGATGTTAAGCAGTTTGGGTCATGCACATTCCATGTTAATAATAATACTTTTTAAAGAAGCAACCCATAGTATTCCAAAATCCAGGATTTCAAACAAAAGTCCTAATCTTGGGCAAAATCTCTACAGAAGTAAAAGAAGTAAGAGTTCTGCATTTCAGGGCTGGCTTGTTGAATCAGCAAAAACATTTGGCTGTATGTTTCTAAGATTGGAAATATTTTCTTTATTGTACTCTCAATTGTGTTTTCTCTAATAAATCTTTTACAGAAGTCTCTACCTCAGGCACTAAGTGTCAGATATGGTTAGGATATTGATACTGAAACACTTAATTAGGACTTCCAACCTTTTAAGATAATTTAATGTAAACAACTGTTAACCAGCAATCTAATGTCATGTGGTGTGCAATTTGGATATTGTATGAACAGCTAAGGACTACCCATTCTAGTGCCAAAGATCACTCGTTGCTAATTTTGTTTTGTACAGTTGATGTAAATCTTTATGGTTGGGGATAGACTCTGTGCTCAGGGTCTTGTCTCTAGAAAGATTTCTTTCGGTTTCAAATGTTTTGTCAGTTCCAAATACAGTTTAGAAGAGTCATTTGTGGTGTGTTCATCTTTTCCCAAGCTTTAAAATTCAGCTGCCAGGAAGTGTCATATTGAGGATATTACCCCATTCTTTGTATAAAATACTACTCAAGAGCTTAATGGTTTACACAGAAAACATGATACAAAAATCTGTTCTCATACATTCACCTGTAAGTTGATCTCAGTGGGAATGCATGAGCAGGAAAATTTCCCAGTAGAGGTATGAACTCAAGAGATGCCTTTTTTTCCGCAGCAGGGTTAGAACTCCTCTGGGATTGCTGTGGCTAAATGGGTCCGTGTGTTTGTGGTGTCATACTCTGAGGAGGGTAGGTGGCCTTGTGTGGGAGAAGGGGGAAGCTGAGGTCTAAGCACAGAAACTGGGTACATACCCTGTTTCTGGCTCCCTTTGTTTCTTGAGGCCTTTTTTCCAAGAGGAATGCCCCCACAGATATAGACCAGTCTTGGTAATTCTAACCTACCTTCTGAGAAGAGAAGGGTATCGGAGAGGGTTGCACTTACTGTGACAATGCCTTGTGTTCCCCCAGACACAATAGCTGACTGGTAGGTCACGCATAGAGCCCACCCTCAGCAGCACAGATTGTAAACTAGTTAGCCAACCATATTTGGTAATAAACT